GATAGATAGATAGATAGATAGATAGATAGATAGATAGATAGATAGATCTGAGTTTTTCTTATGTTTTTAAACTTATTTACAACATTTAAATTCCTCAATAAGAACATGATTGGTGTAAAATGTCTGAAAGCATTTTCCTTTAGATTTAAACAGTAGTGTCTGATAGCATCTGCTGTGAGGCCCAGAGGTCAAAGGTCACAGAGGAAAGAAGGATCCTGGTTCAGAGAGTCTTCCATCAGAACAGGAATCAGGAGGTTAAATGTTCCACAGTTCAGTCTTTTTCTGTCCAAAAATCTGCCGTTTTTCTGTGTGAGCCGTCAGAAATGTGCTGAGAGGACAGAAAAGGATCATTTGCTGCTTTTAGTTTTAACCCTGATAAAGAAGCCTCTCTCTGGGGGCTGTTTTCCACTGAGGACGGACAGAAAATCATAAGGAAAAAATAAATATATAATAATAATAATCATCATCATAATAATACATTATTCTGCTTTGACAAACCTCTTTGGTTGGGGTCTTTTTTTACTTTTAAAAATAAAAAATTCCAAAGTTGTTTTTTCATTGAACTTTATTTATAAAGGTTGTAAATACAAACACTTGAATATAGAATATCATTATGTATAAAAATGGATGATAAATAAATCATAGTAGAATTGAAATTATGAATAATGTTAGCAAATCATAAATAAAGAAAACATGCACTGACAACTAATAATAACAATAATAATAATAATAACAATTCATGATTCTGCTTTAAAAAGCCTCTTTGATTGGGCTGCAGGTGGGTGATGGGGTTAAAACTCAGACCCACCTGTTAATACGGGGCGTTCAGGGCCCGTTGGAGCTTTCAGACTCCTGCAGGTGATTCTGAATGCTCACATAAACGGGGCGTTCAGGGCTGTAACAGGAAAAGAAACAGGTTAAAAAACAGGCTTTAAAAGGAATAAAACAGGAATGAAAACAGGAATAAAATCATGAATAAAAACAGGAAGAAAACAGGTTGTATCTGGCTATAAATAGATATAAAAACAGGCTGTATCTGGCTGTAAATAGACATAAAACCAGGCTGTATCAGGAAGAAAACAGGTTGTATCTGGCTGTAAATAGATATAAAAACAGGTTGTATCTGGCTGTAAATAGATATAAAAACAGGCTGTATCTGGCTGTAAATAGATATAAAAACAGGCTGTATTTGGCTGTAAATAGACATAAAACCAGGCTGTATCAGGACGAAAACAGGCTGTATCTGGCTGTAAACAGACATAAAAACAGGCTGTATCTGGCTGTAAATAGATATAAAAACAGGTTGTATTTGGCTGTAAATAGACATAAAAACAGGCTGTATCTGGCTGTAAATAGATATAAAAACAGGTTGTATCTGGCTGTAAATAGATATAAAAACAGGCTG